TGAAATATTTCAATTGACTTTGACTTTTTCATACTAAAATGTTTTCATATGTCAAGAGTGGAAAGTTATAAATTAAGAGAATGAAGATGCATGTGAAATATTTCAATTGACTTTCAAACTTTTTAATACTGAAATATTCAATGCATTTATACTAGTATAGTGTGTTTGTTTTCTGATTACAGATTAAACGCTGTTCATTACAGAGAGATTTTTACATATTTTTGGTAGCTGTGATCGTAAGCATCGTAGTAGATCAGCTAACAGAAAGCAACATTTTGATTTAAATGTATTATAAACACTGGAAATAATCATTGTTTCAAATATGTTTGAAATAATATGCATAGGAGTAATTTTGTCTGAAATATCAAGACTAAAAGAGGATTATTATTTTACCTTTTTTGTTAATTGATGTAATCATTCTTAATTTTCGTTCCTTTCAAATGTGTTAAATGATGCTGGCTAAAGGAAAATTAGTTCAGAATAATTTATTTGAAATTAAGTTGCAAAGTGTTGTCATAGAGGGATCTTTCTGCTGAGATCTAAATTCAAGAATTTTCATTTAAGGAGTAAAGTAGTCAGGAGTGGCCATTGTGTGGTTCTTATGCAAATAAGATAGATATATGTATGAAAAGGGTAAATTAAAACTACTTTAATGTCTACAAGAAAGTAATTTTCTTTTTGCCAGTAGTGAGTTATTTCTTTCAATTTAAAACCTGTTTCACTATTAAAATGAGGTAGATATGGACTTGTGAGTTTTCGAAAACTACTTAATGTCCACAAGAAAGTAATTAATTTATTTCTTTTTACCAAGTAGTTGGATATTTCTTTTAATCTGAAACTTCTTTCACCATTAAAATGATGTAGATATGAACTTGTGGGTTTTGAAAAATATACTTATGGCTTTTGAATATTCCTGAATTATAATGTGGCTCTTATTGACATTATGTTTGACCATGCCTGGTATATACTAACATATTCAAATTATTCACTAAAACTTAAGTAAATTGACTTTTTTTAAAGGATGTTTTATTTTTCATGTAACAATATTTTTGGCATTCAGGTTAAAATACAGTTATTATAAAAGAAATTAAAATGAAGAATGTTACTTCAGAAAAAATATACGAGGGTAAGTTGAAAAATAAGTTTCCCCTGTCGACTGTGGTCAGAGTTGTGTATGAAAGTCAAAAAATAGAATGAGACATTAAAGATATGATACCTTTAATTTATTATTCTCGTACGAGTACATTGAGACATTTGTCATATCGCTTGATAAGCTTCAAAAAGTCCTCCAGGAAAAAATCAGGGCTTTGCATATGGAAGAAGCGTTGAACGGCTTGTTTCACTTCAGTATTGCTTCCTTATTCTGTTCTGCTTATTATTCTGTCTGAAAGAAGTTCAAGACAACTCCTTCTGCAGGTAAAGTGCTCCTCACAGTTTTCTGGGACGCCCAAGGAGGTTTGTTGCTGGACTTTTTGGAGGTTGGAACCATCAATGCTACGCGCTACTGTGACACCCTGTCGAAATTGAAAGAGGCGATTCAGAAAAAGCGGCCTGGCCTTCTCACAACAGCGTTCTGCTGTTGGATGACAATGCCAGACCACATTCGGCGACAGCAACGCAAAACCATATTGCAACTCTTGGTTGGGAGCGCCTACACCATCCGCCATACAGTCCTGATCTCGCACCAAGCGACTTCCATCTGTTTCCGGCTTTGAAGAAAAATCTCGGGGGAAGGCGCTTTGGAAGCAATACTGAAGTGAAACAAACCGTACAATGCTTCTTTCATATGCAAAGCCCTGATTTTTTCCTGGAGGGCTTTTTGAAGCTTATCAAGTGATATGACAAATGTCTCACAATGTACTTGGTACCTTATGTGGAAAAATAAAGGTATGTCATATCTTTAATGTCTCATTCTATTTTTTTGACTTTTCATACACAACTCTGACCACAGTCGACAGGGGAAACTTATTTTTCAACATACCTACGTATATATAAAACAGAGAAAATCAGAGGCTCTAAGCTAAAGTGACCACATGACAAAGTGTGACAAATGGAATGAAATGAGAATTGTAATTTAGTTATGAAAGCAGACCAATAATTCAAAAAAGAATATATTTTATTGTATAAATTCATATACCTGTCTATAAATATACAAAAATATATTTATTATTAACTATTGGTAACTATAAAAATATTTGTAAAAAACTATAATTTGAATATTATGCTTTTTAATTAATTTAAAATTTTATTTAAAAAAATTAAGATTTTCTTTCATGGTCATATTTTTTATCCAAGTGAATACTTTGCAATAGATTCGGATCATTTATTAAAATGTTGTGAAATTTCTCCCATTAATTGATCAAATTATATTTTATCCTTAATACAGATTTTAAAGTTTAATGTTCAACTGCATTTTTTAAAATTGGCCATATTTTATTGCTACTAGAAAAAAACACGTCCTGTTGCTGCTTTTATTCCTGGAAGGGAGAGTGCGTGTTCTACAATTTTCAAAATATTTTCATAAGGAATATTTTTCTGTTTAAACTCCGTCCATTTTTTTGTCTGTTTCCGCATTTGTAGACAACCAACATTTAATTTTTTCTTCAGTAACATATCTTTTTACCAATGACACCTTATCTAAAAGATTTTCAAATATTATTTTTCGGAAAATGGTTACTAATATATTAAAGATTTTTACACATATTCCCATAAAATCTCCTTTTTTAATGTCACTCAATTCTTTTATACAGTCAAAAGTCGTTAATTCGGACACCCATAATTCGGAATGATCTATAATCCGGACCTCAAAACTAAAAACTTTCTGCGCATGCGCCGCGTTGACACATGCGCATAGGCGTTCACGCGTGCGCGTAAGACTTTTTATGACTGCGCATATGAGTGTGCGCAAGTGCAGAATAGGTTTTCGCGTGCACGTTTTATGCATAATGAACATATAAGCTAAAATAATGTAATTATCTATTTCAGTTAATGTTGATGATTGCGTTGTTCCTTAATTTTCGAATTGGATCCGGCTTATTATTTTTTGCAGACTGTAAGAGCAATTTTATAAAAGTAAGCTTAAACTTTCGTTTATATCAAATAGAATTTCCGATATATATTTGTTAATATGTAAAGGATCTAAAGCGAAAGTGTGTTTTGAAATCCGAAATTTGTTTATCAATTTCATGTTGCTCGGCAGGGGGATCGCCGCGGCGGGCGCGTAATGAATTGGAAGTTGATCTGTCAGCACTATCCTTATCTTCAGCGCAGATGTTTTTATTTTATTTGGCTTATAATTCCTTACCAAATGTAGTATTTCATCTCTATATGCTCCGTCTTTGATATGATTTAAATCAAATGCCTCGTCATTATAATTCGCTTCCGATAGAGAAGAAAGTAACAGAGGTTATTGAAAACTAAAAAATTTCGATTGACAAATTAGTCGGTGTTCTCGACACAGCAATTATAGGACTTGAACAGCGGAACTTTGTAACTGAACGAGAAATTATGTCTGTTTAATAGAATTAAAGAGAAAGTATTATCACATGAAACGAAGCAAAACTTAAACGACTTACATTGAAAAAAATGTTTAATAAAGTAAACAAATAAATATTAAGCTTTTTCTTTTTGCAACTTTTGATACCCTTTAGATCATAATTGTTCTTTATTTCATAAATTACGGTTTCATATTTTTAATTTTAGAATTTCTGCATGCCATCTTACGAGATTTAAACTGATGATCTATAATCCGGAATCGCTGAAGTCCCGACGAGTCCGGATTAACGGACTTTTGACTGTATTTGATTTCTGCACTTTCACATAAATCCTTTAAACCTTCAACATGCACAATATATATATGAAAATATGAATAAATTTTTGCAATATTTTCAGGATCCACTAGAAGTTAGTCAGATGCTGTTTGAATAGTATTGTGTAGAATGTGTGGTGCACAACCTAGTTCAATAATTTTTGGTTAGAATGTTCATTAAGTTTCGTACAAACGTTATTGATGCCTCTTTATAGCTTTTCCACCAAAATTTTTTTGTTACTGTTATACTCACAATAGGCAATATATTGTTCAATTTTTTTAATAGTACTTATTGAATCAAAAATTATTTGTGAAGTTTTATCCGGCAATAAAATAAAATCTAATATTTTAATTTTAATTTCTATTTCTAGACCAAAAAGTCTAATAATTTTAAATATTTGTTTTTGGAAGCATCATAATATATGGATATAAATGTGCATTTATCTAATTCTTTCTGCAATTGTGAAAACGAATATAGTGAAGAAACATTGCAAATAATTGCTTCAGTTTTTGTCTTTGCACATGCAAATTTTTTGTCGTACAATGTTTTGATCATTTGCGATGTACAATCAATTGATCTGAAACTTTTATTGTGGTTTATGGTGTGGAAAGCAAGTAGGCCTTCAGCTAATGCTAGCTGCTCCTCTGTTAACAATATATATTCCTTGACGAGATGTAACGACAATGATAGAGCACCAGGGGAGTAAATCTAACTTGTTGTATTGCCTAATTTAATTTACTCTGCATGCATTTTATGTGTTTTCTGTTTATGTATTTTTTATTTCTGTATATTTACTATAATGATTAATAAGTAATAAGTAACATATTTTTACAGTACATTTAAAATAAGAAATGCAGATGTTTTCTAAAAAGCGGGACATTTTTAAAAACCGGTGGATGCGGGGCAGTACTCCAAAAAGCAGGACTGTCCCGCCAAAATCAGGACGGGTGGTCACTTTACTCTAAGCTTAAAATTGGCAAAGCAGCATGCAAAATTTCATTGTGTCAAATTAACATTTAATTGAAGTAATCGTGATGTTTTATTAAATTCTTGCTTTATTAGATACTTCATGTACTAATTTTCCATTATGATGGAAAAGTTTAGAATATTTTTAATTTAATGATCTTGCAAATGAATATTCTTTTAATGTGCCTAAAACTTATTATGCCTTTATGTACCTTAATATTTCAGCTCTTGTTTATGAAATATTGTACAAAAGAGTTTTTGAACTTGGATCTGATGTTGATATAGCTGTGGAAAAAATGCTTCATGATAAAGCATATTCAAAGCAAAGAAGGAACAATTTGTTAAATCAATTATTTAAAGAAAAGTAAGCTACATTTTAATAATAATGAATATATTTTAAAATAATAGGATGCAAATTATATAATATGACATGTTTATGTGAAATTATTTCTTGTTGATGACCGATTTCTGTGTTGCTCTAACTAAAAACCTGTCAGCTCGGCATGTGAAACGTGGTACCTGAATTCTGAAGGGCAAATGTTATTTTGTTAGTCTTTTATCTCTTTCAAAATAATTTTTAAAAAGGCTACTTTGGAGATGATAGTATGCTCTGTTATTAAAATTTCTAATCTTATAAAATATAGTATTTTTTATTTGAGCATGTTAAATTAAAACATGTTATAAAAATTTGTGCCTGGGATTCCTGGTATCCTATAACTCAGATTAAGGTGAAACAAAAAGTGATCATTGCATCTTCCTAAATCCTGAAAAAAATCTGTGTGGAAACTTGCTCTCCATCATTACCCTAAAAGTAACGACGATAGTCAGTTTTGTAATACAGTTTATCTTTAAATATGTATTTGATGTTTAAGACAAACTTGACAATTTTAAAGCATACCTAATGTTGGTGATAGATAATTGGAATTTGGTTTTGTTATTTATGCTATAGGAAAAAGTCTTGTTCCTAAATTATTAATAAATCATTTATTTATGGATTATCTTTATTTACAAAAGGAAATTTTTTGTAAAATTGAAATTTATTTGCAAAATTATTTACAAAAGGAAATTTTTTATAAATATAAATGTTGCAATTTGGACCATTCGTTACTTAAGGATGGTATGTATTTTGCTAGTCGTTGCTAATAAATTATTTTTGAAGCTATTAGTCATATGTAATTTTTTCTGGTTTAGAATGTTTGTTATTAACCGAGTTTTTAAATGTTTATTGCATTCTTTGTTTTTAAAATATTAAGTAAGAGGCATGCTTCTATTAATTGCAGATGGAAACAAACCAAACGAAGTTTTCGTCCATGAACTTAAAAATGTTTGCTTTATCAAATTAAGATTTTACTTAATTTTAGCTGATATGCTTTTAAAATTAATGTGTCTTTTATTTTTAATAAATTTCTAAGAGCAGTTATTTTTATGTGTAGTTGCTGTATTGAAAGTGTTAAAGAAGATCACAACTTACCTGAGGATGATCAATTAATCTTTAAAGTAAGCTCTTCTCAAATATTAATTGCAGTGCATTATTAATTTACAGTTCGTTATATTAAATCTTTGAATTTATTACTTTGAAAATCTTTGTGAATAATATCAAAAATATATCCTAAATTTGGTTGCTTAATTATATGTTAAAGTAATATGAAAAGAAAAATGAAAGTAAATATAGTGGAACCTTTTCTTAGCAGATATTATTGCGACCAATGCACAAGGAGTGTTAAGTAACAGGCATTACATTGACTTCTTGAGTCCCTGAGAGTTTTAGATATACTTATTAATGGGAATTTGTTAAAAAATGTTTAAGGAATCAAATTTGTAAGCAAATTGATTCTCTAAAAATGCGTTGAAATTATTACCAGAGTGAAAATGTGCATTCCCAAAATTGCTACCACATGAAATGTAATTTGAATTAACAAAGGGAGTGCATAAGTTTGTATCACCATACAGGTCCTTCACCTGAAATTATGGTTTGGGATCTTGCTGGATTTTACTTCCTGCATTTACCTAATATTGTTGGTACAGCAATTACTAAATCTCTCAAATTTTGGAATAATTTTGCATCTGTGTTTTATAACATCTTCAAAAACATATTTTATCATAATAATATCTCTCTTATTACAATTGGATGGACAATTTTAATTAAATTCTAAAGTGCTCAAGAATTTGCAATAATGCAGTACAAAGTCTGTAATCCGGACATCCATTATGCGAAATGATCTGTAATCCGTACCTCAAAGCCACAAGCTTTTTTTTTGTATGCTTTACGCATGCGCGTTTAATGTTATGCATGTGCATTTAGCACAAAAAACGAAGCAACTTAAACAATTTACATTGAAAGAAATGTTTAGTAAAGTAAACAAATAAATATTAAGCTTTTTTTTTTGTAAATTTTGATACCCTTTAGATCATAATTGTTCTTTATTTCATAAATAACGGTTTCATATTTTTAATTTTATAATTTCTGCATGGCATCTTACCAGATTTAAACTGATGATCTATAATCCGGAAAAATCGATAATCCGGAATCGCCGAAGTCCCGACGAGTCTGGATTAACGACTTTTGACTGTATCAGAACTCTGGAATTTTCCTCAGAGGTATAAGTTTTCACAATATCACGCAGTAATAATCAGTAGTTATAAATACTTCAAACTACTAAAAGTGCTGAATAGAATGCAATGCAATGCACAGCACATTTAAAGAGAAAGCTAATCTGATTTATCTCTGTTCACATGGAACTACAACTCGCAACAACTAAACAACTAATTATAAAACTGAGAGCTAGATGCTCTCTTTTCGCCTTAGTTTTCAACCAGCTGCGTAAGATATTTCTAGCAATTTCTACTTCTCGAGATTTCTGTAAAGTAGAAAGAGTGTAGAATTATGGTTATAGCTAACAGCAGTCAATTACATTTATTCAGTTTAAATACAAATTACCAATATATCCATTTACTGAATGTTAAATGCACATGCCCCTGTAGTTTTACTTTTCCCGAATACCTTTCTCTTAAATTTTGCCTTGCACTGCATGACACAAGGAAATGCAACAATTTTAATTGTAATTCTTTTAAGATCACCTATCTAAATACAAAATTTGTAACATTGTCGCTTTCCCAAGGACTGTATGTCCCGGCAGTACAATACCTGGACTAGAAGCCATACTTACAACTGAAAGCATCAATCCAATAATAAATATTACAATGCAGTAACGAACAGCGTAATTGCAATAAATAACATAAAACAAATCAAATACTAAATCAATAAATGAGTTCACAAAATTACAAATTTAGAAACAAAAAGGACCATGGTCTTATATTATTTACGTGATATACACTACTATGGCATAGTAAGAAGCTAGCTTGTCATAATGAATGACTTTGGGCTTAGAATTTGATGACTTGTGGATCTGAACTACGATGTCATTCGGCCTGTTTAGAACTGCGCAAGGACCATCCCGAGGTGACTATAGTTTAAGACAAAGTCCTTTCCATCAAATTGGATTCCAGAACCACACCTTGCCTCCTTCATTGAATCAATGTCCTGTAGATCTTGTGTTGCATCGGGTCTTCTTCTTCGACAAAAGTAGACTTGCTCTCCTGCAAAATATTAGATAAATCCAAGATCTCCAGGCCCTGTTTAAAATGTGCATCACTTTAAACAGATCTTGGATGTACTCCTCAGGTGATGAAGGTGCATCTGGAGGGCGACCAAATAAAAGGTTGCAAGGCAGACGAAGATCACGACGTAAAAGCATTGGATGGAGATCATGACCTAAAAGCATCATTGATATCTTGTAGACAACACTGTGATAAGCCAATGAAAAGAGAGGTAACTTCTTGTCCTAGCCCTGTTGGTTTCTGGAAACCACCAATGAGAGGTTATTAAGGATATTTCAATTAAAACTCCCTCTACCTTGCCGTCTGACTGGGGATGTAAAGGTGTCATTTGGGTTTTGTTAGTGTCTTTAATTACAGCTAAGGTAAAATTCCTTCCTTCATCAGAATGTAAAAGAGGCACTCCGAACTTGGAAATTTAGTGCTCTATCATTACCTCTGCTAATGTGAGAGCTTTTTGACCAGGAATAGGATACACTTCAGGCCACTTTGTGAAGTAATCAATGACAACAGGGATGTATTTGTTGCCATCAGCAGTTCATGGCAGAGGTCCCAAAATGTCAAAGGCGATACATTTAAAAGGCACTCTAGCGTTGTAATGTTGCAACTTGCCTTGGCTGCATTTCTTTGGTTCTTTCTGACCCAGATTGCAAGATTGGCCACACTTTTGCACCTCATACTTTGCATAACTTCACTAAAAGCGCTCTCGAAGTCTCTGCAAAGTCTTCATTATTTCAAAGTGGCCTCCTATAATGCTGCTATGCAGTTCTTTAAGGATATCTGGGATCCGGAATCTTGGAAGTATCAGCTGCCATCGAAAAGCCTTCCTGTCATCCGATTTGAATTTCCGTTACAAGATGCGGTTTCAAATATGGTGAGAGTCCCAGAGTGTCCAATACTGTTTTGTTGTAGGTCTATAGATCAAAATCTTCTGCCAGGTAGATTTTCTGTCTGAAGACAGAAATATGGGTTTAATGTTGCCACATGGCATGTGTAGACAGAAATTAGACAGTTATGGGTTTAATGTGTCCATCTTGCAGCTGGAGTTTCTCGACTTCCTTATCACTCCCTGGGTCTTGATCAGCTGATGTTGATGTAATTTGCTGTGCGACTGGATTAAGCTCGTGCTTCGGTTCGACCCTGGAACAATATCGGCTGTTTTCTGGACAAGGTCTTCTAGACAGGGCATTGGTGCTTCCGTGTGATCATCCCTTCTGATGATGGATACCGATATCATATTCCTGGAGTGTCTGTATTCACCTGGCAATTTGACTTTCAGGATTCTTGAAATTTAAAATCCAGAACAACGAAGCATGATCCGTGTGGTGTAGGAATTTTCTGCCATAGAGAGATAACGATGGAAATGTTGGATGGCTTTAACTATGTCAAGCAAGTCCTTCCTGGTGACTCTAATTCCTTTTCGGTTTTGATAGGCACTTGCTCCAGTAGAGGTTCTTTGCCATTATTTCTTATGACACAATAGCACTGTCACTCTCATTGCTCGCATCCGTGTTGAGAATAAATGATTTGTTGAGCTGAGGATACATCAAGATTGGAGCTAATGTTAAAGCTTCCTTCAGGTTGTTAAATGCATCCTCACATTCTTTTGTCCACAAGAACTTTTGTTTGCTTTGTCAGTTTGTAGAGGGGTCTTGCAACAGAAGAAAAGTCCTTCACAAATCTCCTATAGTAGGTGCAAAGCTCCAGGAAACTTCTTAGCTGATGAACATTTTCGGTTCATCTCCAGTCTTTAACTGCTGACATTTTTTCTGGATATCTACACACACCTTCGGCAGAAATGACGTGCGCCAGTTAAGTCGCTTCCTGCCTGAATAATTTACATTTAGTGGGATTCAACTTAGATTGGCTTCTTTCAGTTTCTGATGCACCTTTCAAAAATTTTCTAGATGTTCTTCAAAATTCTTCCCGACAATGATGGTGTCATCCAGGTATATCAGCCAGGCTTCACAGGAAAGTCCTTTCAAAACAGTCTCCATGCAGGCGTTGGTGTTGCAGGCATATTGCATAGTCCAAATGGTATCACCCTAAACTGCCAAAGCCCTTGTCCGGTAATAAATGCTACCTTTTCTTGGTCTTCAGGATGTATCTCTACTTGCCAATAACCACTCTTAAATCAAATGTTGAAAACATATTTCTTCCAGAGTGTCCAGAATGTCATCAGTTCTAAGAAGAGGGTAGCTGTCTTTCTTCGTAACCTTGTTCAATCAGGGATAGTCAATGCGAAATCTAGTTGCACCATCTTTCTTTCTGATCAGGATGAGAGATGTCAATGAATTTGCTGAATGTTTGATGACATCGCCTTCTTCCATGTCCTTTAAAAGTGTTTGTACCTTTTCCTGTTTAGCAATAGGTAGATGTCTTGGATGTTGCTTGATTGGTGAATTATCACCGGTATCGATTAGATGTCGAGTCAAACTGGTTCGACCCATGTCTGAAGATGAGCGGGCAAAAACATCTTAAAGATCTTTAATGAGACGTTTGACAGCATTCCTCTCTTCATCGTTTAATTGCGCATTCTGCAATAACTCCGATGTAATGCTCTCTGAAGACACGGATTATGGGATGTTATGGGACACTTCACCTTTCTTCAACTCTCGCCTTGTTGTTTACATTGATAACTCTCACTAGGATAATGTCCTTTATAGCTTGATGAGGCTATTAGTATTCCTTTTTGGGCTGTTAAAGTTCTTGGGATATTCCCTGACTCTGTAGCAAAAATTTCTATTTTGGCTATGGATCCAGGAAGTAAAAATTCTGTTCTTGCTGGTATTGTGATGTCATCTTGAGCTATGATTTTCTGGAAAGATTTAATTCCTTCATCAGTAATTCCAAATAGGGCTATATCCTCAGAGGCAGAATGC